GATCATAGGGGTATATCATACGAAGATACTGTTGACAAGGGGAGATCATTCCAAGATTTAATCAACTTGGGTCAAATTTCAGAGTAGTGTTCAACAAGGGGTATATCTTTTGAAGGGGCACTCCTTAATCAAGTCATACCATAATAGGGTATGACTTTGTTTCTAATTTTAAACAAACCTCCAAAGATCCAAATGCAGGGGCAGTGCGTATCAGGTTCATCCTACTGCACATAGGGTCCAAATCCTTCAAGCAACTTCAAGTACAAATTTTTCAAGCTTTGAATACTTGAGGCAATCTATGTCAAGTTCATGGTGAGGTCAAAGTGCTTTCTGAAGGTGCTCCCTCCAGATCTTCGAGATTGAGGGGCATGTCTTTCAAAATTCAAATATTGGGGCAAACCACTGCGAGGCTCCATCAAAAGGAGTTGATTCAAAATGGTTCATCAAAGCCAAACATTTTCAAGAGTCTTTTAATCAGGGGAATAATACAAAATATTAGGGTCATTCACATGATGATCAAACTACTTCCAAACTCATATCACTGAGAATTTCCTCCAAGACCCTACCAACAAATTAGAAAAAGACAGGCCACATAAAGTAAAATTTCTTCATACTTTCACAATCCTCTAGGGGACCTCTCTTCTACGTCAGCAATCTTCGAATCCGAAATGAGTATCAGGGAATTATACAAGCACAACACTCTACCATCATGTGACAACCAACCTTGTCGCATAATAAAACCTCCACACTCTAATCATCCACGACCTATCACAGGGGCACCATTCAAAAAGCATTCATGTCATAATCATAAAACATAGGGCTGCATAAAACATGAATCAAGGCTCTTCAATCCAAAACCAAACTATACTATTCATCTCACCCATCTGAATAATTTCAACAACATGGGTCAAGCATATCTCAAAAATCCCAACTATGCATTCACATTTCAAAGTCCAACATCCATTTACACATATCCAAGTCATCCATCACATACATTAATCAATCATCACATCTCATGCATCAATCAATCATCACATTTCATGCATCAATAAAATTTGCACGCATAACATGAAACCTCATTTTTATGTGAAGACAATCATCATTGTCGATTAAATTATCAATTCTATATTGAATCTTGACAGTAGATTCCCCTAGTTGATCACGACAGTTGATTATCTAGAAGACCTCGGCAGAAGGTATTTCTCAATCAAATCTCGGCAGTAGATTCACCTGGTTGATCACGGCAGTTGATTATCCGGAAGACTTCGTAAGAAGGTATTCTAATTGAATCTTGGCAGTAGATTCTCTTGGTTGATCATGACAATTGATTATCCAGAAGACCTCGGCAGAAGGTAGCTCGCAATTGAATCTCGATAGTAGATTCCTTGGAAATATTGGCAATAGATTTCCCACTAAGAGCCTCACATCAAGCATGACGTACACATAACCATATCAAAATATCAAGGTCATCAATAACATTTGGTGCATCTAACATACAGAAACACCGAATAGCATTTGATAAAAGAATTAAAAAATCATTTTGGTTAGAACAACATCGAAAGAAAATCTGTGCCCACGCCTACGTATACGATTATGTCAACATCCATGCCAATGTCCACATCCATGCCTATTTCTATGCCCACGCCTACGTCTATGAATATGTCAACATCCACGCCAAAATCCACGTCTACATCCATACCTATAGCTATGCCTATGATACAGACCTCAAGATCTTGATAACATCTTTCACCAAATTCAAATCAACTTGGAGGTACAACATTGGTAATGAACAATGTTGGGGAGTTTGTGATTATGAGAACCCGGTGGTTTAACAAGAGAGAATTATAAAAAACATTTGCAAAATACTTGTAGCATACACACACATTTGGGGCATATACAAGCATTTGGGGCATACACAAACATTTCAGGCATATACATACATAATCATTTTGACGCATGAGCATTTAAAAACATTTGAGGCATACATCACACTTGGATAGCACATCAATTTAGGGCATTCTGCATGCAGTGCATCTTGCAAAGCTACTTTGGTTAGAATTACGAATTTTCTTGGGATTCATCGTTAGCAAGCATATTCGTGCGAACTATATAGTTCAAACTTTAAAGCGATTTGGTGTTTATTTTTGTCATGTTGATAGTTGTGGTTGAGAACGAAACAACAGACTTCATCATGAATTTGGTGTTCTTCACATTGATAGTTATGGTCGAGGGTGACACAACCAACTTCATTATGAATTTGGTGCTTATTTTTTCTCATGTTGATAGTTGTGGTTGAGGGCGACACAACCGAATTCATCATGAATTGGGTGTTCTTCACATTGACAGTTGTAGTTGAGAGCGACACAACCAACTTCATCATGAATTTGGTGCTTATTTTTCTCATGTTGATTGTTGTGGTTGAGGACGACACAACCGACTTCATCATGAATTTGGTATTCTTCACATTGATGGTTGTGGTTGAGGGCGACACAACCGACTTCATCGTGAATTTGGTGCTTATTTTTTCTCCTGTTGATAGTTGTGGATGAGGACGACACAACCGACTTCATCGTGAATTTGGGGTATATTTTCTTCATGTTGATAGTTGTGGTTGAGGATGACACAACCGAATTTATCATGAATTTGGTGTTCTTTACGTTGATAGTTGTGGTTAAGGATGACACAACCGACTTCATCGTGAATTTGGGGTATATTTTCTTCATGTTGATAGTTGTGGTTGAGGACGACACAACCGACTTTATCATGAATTTGGCGTCCTTTACGTTGATAGTTGTGGTTGAGGACGACACAACCGACTTCATCGTGAATTTGGGGTATATTTGCTTCATGTTGATAGTTATGGTTGAGGACGACACAACCGACTTCATCATGAATTTGGTGTTCTTCACGTTGATAGTTTGGGTTGAGGACGACACAACCGACTTCATTATGAATTTGAGGTATATTTGCTTCATGTTAATAGTTGTATTTGAGGACGACACAACCAACTTCATCATGAATTTGGTGTTCTTCACGTTGATAGTTGTGGTTGAGGACGACTTAACCGAATTCATCATGAATTTGAGGTATATTTGCTTCATGTTGATAATTTAGGTTAAGGATGACACAACCGACTTTATCATGAATTTGTTGTTCTTCACGTTTATAGTTGTGGTTGAGGGCGACACAACCAACTTCATCATGAATTTAGTGTTTATTTTCCTTTATGTTGATAATTGTGATTGAGGGCGATACAACCGACATCATCATGAATTCAGTGTTCTATGTGTTGATAGTTGTGGTTAAGGGCTGGCACAACCAAACATCATCAGTGAATTTGGGTTCCATCACTTCAAATCTAGCTTATTTCATTTGATTATCGAATCTTGGTTGAGGACTGACACAACCAACTTCTTCCTTCCAAGTTCCAAATATATTGTTTCAATCTTGTATTATCTATCCATTAGGTTGTGATAGATATATGAAAAATCTTTGGCTCATGGAGTTAGTCTCTAGGCAGCAATGTGTTATCGAGCTTTATGTTATTCATCCCCTAGATTGTGTGAATATACAAAATTTGCGTCACAAACTTACTATATTAGTCTTCAAGCATTAATAAGTCAACCTTTCCGAGACTTGTGTTTTTGTAAATATGCAAAAGAATCTACGATCTCTTTTCAAAGTATTGACGAGTTATCCGGATCGTCATATCTCGGACAAACTTACCCTTCATTCATATCTCTTTATTTAAACGCCGGTAGGATGATACATCAACATCCATGTCTATTCTTTACGCTCATGGGAACGTACATCGTATCCTTATAATATCCCAGACAAATATTGGGGTCTTCAAATATTTAATAAACTTATGATTGAACGTGCGAGACCTCTGTATTCTCGCACTATTCAATCGAAAGATGATTAAATAGGGGCAGCTTTCGTATCCCAAATTTGATCGCCCTTTTATTTCTTCAGTCAAAAATATTTTAAACATTGTTTTTATAATATTATTTGATATTTTTATAGATGTTCATTCTCAAGTCCAGTCAAAAATATTTTAAACATTTTTTTTTACAATATTATTTGATTTTTATAAATATTCGCTCCCAAACCTATTTAAAAATATAATGATTTATTCCAAATTATTTGTATTTTTTTAAATAGCAAATATATGCACACCTTTCATATACTTTCAAATTGAGTTTATTTACTGGTTCAAATCTCTTGTGTCACACTTTCAATATTTTCTTATTTTATTTTATTTTTGTCACTAATTTTCTTTCTTTTTTTGGAATCAAACTTTGGGTTTTCTTTTGGGCTTTTGGATAACTTAGCCTATAAGGCTTTGTTAACTAACTCACTCTATAAATAGGACTATTATCGTCCTATATTTTTCATTCACAACTCACAATTCATCCACAATCTGTCACAATTTTACACACACAACTATGCATTTTTTTGCGATTTCTTTTCAAAGTTTCTTTACAAAAACTATTTGTGGGTTTTTTATTCTTGGCCGATGATTCAAATATGAGGCCTCCTTTTTATTTTTAATTTTTTTAATTGTAGTTGGTTTGCAACTATGTGATGAATTGTATGAAAGTATATTTTTTACTAGTTTATATAGTTATTAATTATTTCGTCTAATAGTTTACACTACTTATGTATTACTAACATTGTTATCATCAAATCTTTTAATTTTATAGCTATAATTTGATCTGCAATTTTCCATATTCACTGACTAACCTTGTACCGATACATGCTTTCTTATTACAAAAATCCATATCCGATATATACACTAAGGCCATCATTCATGCATCTTTTCACCACCAAAACTCTCTCTAATAACCTTATTAACATATATGCATCACTATATTTTGTATAAAGATTTTTTGAAAGAAAAGAAAGCTACAATAAAAGAATTACAATCACCATCCAACCTTCAATCAAAATCTGTCCAAAATCAATTTAAACAACACAAAGCAAGTTACAACATCACAATGTCACAAAGAATAGTAATTTCTAGATTTGTTTCAAACTGAATGTGGACAGGATAAAGGAGGAATCAAATCTAAAGAACAAGCCTTAGTTTTCCGACGAAAATCGACGAACTTCGAAGCACCACTTCCGAAAGAGAGAAGCTAATTGTCTTTGGCGCTAATTGCATAGTGTTTCTTGTAACTCCTTTTGTTGTTTTTTCAATTTTATTGTAGGTTGCTGATAGAAAAGATGATTCCATACCTTCTCCGACTACGACGAGCATCAAAACGACAACCACCTCCGATGCCAGAAAATTGCGGCCACCTGTAGCTCCTCTGCACCGGAACAATGCCTACCCACTCTGCACCACCTTCACCGTGAACGACACCGATGGATCTACCGATCCAACCCCCGGTAAGTAGCTTCCCTTATGTTTGTTTACGTACTTTTTTGATGGACTTATATATGAATTTTCATGTTAGTTTTTTGGAGGAATTTTGAATGATGGGAATAAAACATAAATGATGATGGAATAGTGCTATACTGGTTTAGAATTTTAGTTGTTATTTTTTCTTCTTTTTTCTGTTAATCATTTATTAGCTAATTTAGAACTACGGTTTTAGAAAGAAATGATATTAGACCTTATTCTTTTTTATAACATCATCCCATTTTGCTAGCCTAGTGCAAAATACTCTATTTTGATTTGTTTCTTTTAGATTATATATACTTTTTATTTATTTAATAACTTTTATTATTTTATTTAGATATTTATTTTTATCAAAAATACAAAAACAATAATCAATACAAAAATACAAAATTTTTTTTTTATTATTAGGCTGATTAGACTATTTAGTTAATTAGGTTAATTATTAGTTAAGAATTTAAGCATTTATTTGTACTTAAGCCTAGCATTTTCATAATTAAAATTAATTCAAACAATCTATAAATAATTAGATGTCTATCTTTGAGTAATTAAATCGATCGATATATCGTCTATCAATTTATTTTTTAAAAATCAAATGATTAGAATCCACACAACTTGCCAAATTCACCATCCATGAATGACACGTGGCCAATATCTAGCCACGTGACGAGGAGACTCCATGAAACTCCCTCCGCATCCTTCATGACGAGCAACACGTGGCCATATCTGGCCACGTGATGAGGAGACTATATCAGACTCCCCCGCTCTACGTCTTAATATAACTAACTAATTACAAACTAATATTTTCTATTAACTTAATCAAAACTTTAAGATCATTTAAAAAAAGATTAAATAGCATTGTCTTCGAATCAAACTACGAACTGCGTCTATGATTACTCAACTTACAACCCATACAAGGTTCAAAGTTAATTCGAAAGCAGTTCTACGCAATCTTACAAAAAACACCAACCAACCGCGAACTACGAAATGTGATTCTGATTCCTCCTCAGAGGATACGTAGGTTTACGATTAAAATCGTGGCGAGTTTCCCCTATTTAAAATCAAAACCCTTCCCCCTAATTAAAATTAAAACCCTTTTTCTCAATAAAAAAATAAAAACCCTATTTTATAAACATCACGCTTCTAAATCTATTATTCTTGTGAACAAGGTAGATAAGGGGTGTCTAATACCTTCCCCTCGTCTAGAACCGAGTCCAAACCTAGAATCTTTGAACTTTAGGGTTATTCCTTTATACTCCCTTCCTTAGGATAAAAATTAAGGGTGACGACTCTGAATTTAAAACCATTTACAACACCTAGAGGTATACCTGTGCGAAGTGTTTTGATTTCAAGTATTTATCTTTGAGATTAGGTTTTCTAATGATTGATTTTTAATCTTGCCATGCAAACCCTAATTACTAACATTAATAAGGAAACAGTAAATTGCGGAAATTAAACGTTCTACGCTATTACAACGCTTCGAGAGTGAGGGTACAGATTTATGAATGAGGATGAAATGTAAAGGAGTCGTAATTAAAGCTATTACAGACTTTGAGCAATTACAATATTGAAAAATATTAATGTGAAAGTAAAGTGCGCGAGGGTGGTGAAAAGGAGAAAATGTTTTAGAAAACCCTAAAATATTTAAGAAAAGATTTTGTTGATATTTTTAGAAAAAATATTTGAAATAACAAATTAGACCTAACTCTAATTAATTTACAAATTAATTTTTTAAAATAAGACAAAGTGTAATTAAATTAATTAATTTTATTTATGAAAATTAAATTAATTAAGTAAAACCTAAAGAAATCTAAGTATTTATAAAATATTTTTGGTGTTTTATTTAGAAAAATATATGAAGTATAAAACCTAATTCTAATTAAATAAAATCAAGGTGATTAAATTAAATTAATTTTTATTTATCAAAAATTAAATTAATTAATAAAAAACTAAATCTAATTTTTTTTTTATCATTTTAATGATTCTTCTGATTTTAATTAAAATTATTTTTGAAAAGAAAAATTTAATAAAAATAAAAAAAAACAAAATGGGCCTGAATGCTATAAATGAAAAATGGGGTGGAGGGTTAGAAAGCAAAAGTGAAAGGCCCAAATCAGGGAGGCCCAGGCTCCTGTTGGATTCCACGTGAGTGACTTCAGGAAGATGCATCATGGTCATGCGTCTTGGGACGTTGGATCTGACCCTTTTGAAATCTGAAAGTCAAGGGGTGACGTATACCATGCACACCATTGACTTGCTTGTATTAGATCTGTGAGAAATAAACATGAAAAAGAAAAATGTCCCACACCTGGCTCGAACCCGTGACCAGGAAAATGTATGACTTAAGAGCAAGCGCACAGTCACTAGGGTGACTGTTACATCCGATGATAAAACATGTTGCAATAAATATAAAGTAAACTTGTTTTCAAAATTGGACTTCATCTTCTTCCTCGCACGCGTTTACAACAATAGCAACAACATTGTTCAAATTTGTAAAACTCTCATTTCTCAACCATTGTAAAAAATGTAAACATCAAACTTGCTTGAAATTTAACCACAAATCCAACCATATAACTTTCAAAAACTATAGATCAATGGTTAGGATGAATTTTGCTTGGTACAAAACTGAACCCTAATATTTCAGAAACTTGAATTCCAAAGTTCTCATCACACATTCAACATAAATGAAAACTAATGACATGGTTAGTTTCAGGGCAATGATATCTACATTTTTTCTTTAGGAAATAAATGCAAATGATGCTTGTCAGAGATTTCAAAGTTTAGAAAACTTACCTCTGAAGTGAGAATCGAGTTTGAACTTAGAGCACTTCTGGAGGTGTTAGGATGATCTGGATAGCTTCACTGAACTCCCAAGAAGCTTTTGCAATGCCTACCTTGGATTGAGAGTGCCTCAAATTCTTCTAGACAAGTCAAGTTGCAAAGGTGTAAAGTGAGGTTTGGATAATGATGGTGGAGGTGTTACAATCGTGCCAAGAGTGTTTGGATAACTTATATTTGATGGATAAAAGGTATTTGAATGATAAAAGAGGAAAACACATGAATGGATTTGAAGTTGTGTGTTGGAAGCTTCAAATGTGCAACAATGGAGTTTTCTAAGTGATTCTGATTTTGGGAGTGTTTTAGGGCTTGCGAATTCGTTTGTTAGATTGCAAATGACCTCTCAATTTATAGAGAAAAGGTTTAAGGGCAAGGGATGATCAGATTTAAAAGACAAAATGTTATGGTTTGGTTGCTTAGATTTAAAGTAAATTGGAAGAAACATTGTTCCAATGTATAGTGTTGTACCCCAAAATTTGCTCTCTCATATTCCTCAAAATATTACAAGAAAAATCTCCAAGTTGCTCAAGTTTGCTCAAGAGTTGGACAGACAAGCTATCTCCTAAGGCAGTCAACCCCAAATTAGAGTTTTGTGTTGCATCAAGATCTTTGAATCCAAATAACCTCAAGTGCTCCCCAATGTCCTAATATGTTCTCAAGATCATCCATGCCAAATTTCAAGCCTTGCAGAGGAAGTTTGCTCATTCAATTGCTCAAAGGTCCAAAAATCGACTGTGTTAGGGCAAAAGTCAACTGTGACCTACATACAGTCAAACTTCAAGATTTTTGTCAACAATCTCATTTTGATGGATATTTCATCATTTTATCAAGGGTTGATCATGATTCATTAAGGATTGCTCAAAATTCATCAAGACTCAAAAGTTGCTAAATTAGGGTTTTGTAGGAAAAGTCAACTCAACTTTGACCAAGCATAACTTTCTCATACTTTATGATAAATGACCCATCCAAAGCTAATTTTGAAGAGGATGAAATTTCCTACAATTCATATTCATACCCCAAGATCAAAAAATGCAGTCACAAGAAGTTATAAATTTGGACATTATAGGTCATTTTTTAAAGTCAACAAAAACACCTTTTTTTCCAAAGCTTATGACTTGACCATGGAATATCAAAATGAGATGAGACCAAAAGGGTTGATTATAAGACATATCAAGCTTTCTAAAAAGTCCAAGAACACTCCCAAAAGTTCAAAATTGAAGAAGTTATGCATTGTTGAAGTTGGACTTTTTTGCAAAATTGCCAAAAGTCAACTATCCCCAAAACTTCAAATTTTGTCAAATGGGCCCATTCTTTTCCACTTGATTTGGGTTTGCATCATTGCCCACATGCCCTAGCTCCAGCCAAGTGCCCATATTTCACTTTTATTATTTAATTTGATTTTTTTATTGGATTTATTCATTTTAAATCAAAAAAAATCATAGAAAATCCAAAAATTAAATAACTCATGATTTTCTGATTGTTTTAGGCTTTGTTCACAGCTAGCATCACCATGAAATTCATATAAAGTCAAATCATGGGCAAAAAGATTGAATTGAATCAAATTTGGAAAGTTTAATAATGGAGATCAAATCACATTCATGTGCATTGATATGAAGGGATTCAATCCATGATTCTTACCCTAATACAAAGCATATTACATAAGCAAGCCAAGGGAGATGAAATCAGGGTTGGAAAGGGCAGAGAGAGGCAGAATAAAAAGTGAAAAAATCACAAAAAGTGAGAAGTCGAAATCCAGGTTAGAGGCATTTTTAGAGGCCAAGACTTGTCCCAATCGCTTCCTGGGCATTCACTCAAACTACCTGGATCAAAACCAAGCATCTTCAGACTCCATAACGCGCTGTAAGTGTCACACAACTCCTTCCTGTTCTTGAATTCGATTTGGCTCATTCTTGCATCATTTGAATAAAGTAACTGCATATTCCTAACCCTTATGTCGTTTGCAAGCTATTGGCAATAATCAATTTGATTTATATGCACTGACCATGAAACGCCATGGCTAGGGTTTCATTTCTGTTTTTAGGGGTTCTTATTTCAGGCACAATTGGTCCATGTAAGGGGCATGGATGCAATCAGGAGGAGAGGACGAGTTCAACCATGCTCGTGGAATATGTTTTCCTGGCCTGGAGGGAATTTTAGAAC